AAGTTAATGTGTGTTTCTGTGTGAGGCAGGTAGGGAAGGATCGAGACAAGCCGAAAGGATCTTTCACAGGTCCCCAAGAAGAAGTGGCATCTCCATCTAGGCCTGCCATTCACTAATTTAATTAGAAAAGCAAAATCTCAAAGCATACTCTGAAAAGAACTGCGATATAAGGTTAGTATAGGTGTCTAAATGGTAATTTTATTGCCCAATATGTCATAAATCTCTCTTTGGAAAATATCTGTCCTGCCTGCTTCTTGTGCTAATAATCAGTTGTTGTAATATAACAGCTTTTGTGGTATTTGCAGGGGGAAAAACCATCAAATTAAATAGATATGAGAAGAAATATGGACATATTTTTTGTTTAACCTTCTGGTACTGTTCGCATTGGGGTCAAAATAGATTTGTTTGCTTGTTATTTGTATATTTAATTACAGTATAATATATGTCCAGATCCGATCACGCAGTTTCAGACTCGATTGGAATCAGACGTTACCTCCCAATCAGGACTCGAATATATATATATATATATATATATATATATATATATATATATATATATATATATATATATATATATATATATATATTCAGATTTTTTTAACACATCTATATTTATGTGGTGGCACAGAGCTAGACCTCTTTTTTGACTTTACACAGAAACAGCTACGCATGAGGCATGACATCACTTTGTTGCAGAGATGCTATTGGTTAAATGCCGGCAAAATAGAACACTGAAGCAACTTTAAGCGGAAAACGCGAGTATGTCTGCGGTCTGGAGGTATTATAAAGTTGATGACGACAACATTGTCATAGTAAACTGTGAAATATGTAAATGCCTGCCAGGTGTTTTAAGTTGAGGTGCTATTTGATTTATATTAGCTTCGTTTTATATTTACTGTTGCACTAAAGTCCAAAAGTGAAGAATTTATGTTATGTATTACTTGATTGTTCAAGCTACCTCACAGAAGTGCTCTGTTTTTTAACAGAGTTGTTAAATGTTAAAATAAGGAGACATCCTAGATCTGTTTCTTCACTCTTCTTTAGTCTTTTTTATGTATTATAGAAGTATCTAATCGAGTTTCCATATCGGTAGATACTCAAAATCAAATGACAAGGGCAAAAAAAAATTTGATCGGGACATAATATGATATTAAGTCCGTTCATTCATTTTCTTTTCAACTTAGTCCCTCTATTAATCTGCGTTCGCCACAGCGGAATGGACCGCCAACTTATCCAACATATGTTTTACGCAGCAGATGCCCTCTCAGCCGCAACCCATCTCTAGGTAGTCCATAATAGGCATGGGACACAGTTTGCAAAAGTCAAGCTTTTAAATTTTCTGCAAAATTGTACCTAAGGTATGTGTACGTTTTATTAATTTATTTTTTGTAGGACAACAGTACCTCCAGCAAAAAAAAGATATCTGTTTTAAAAGATGCCATTTAAAATTGTATTTTTAAAAAATATGTGTTTTTAAAAAAAATGAAGACAGCAGAAGTTGATAATTAATTTAGTTTGACGTGTTTGTTGTTCCAAAATATTTTAAATGTTTCTCACAATAAAATATATTGTGTTCAAGAGGGGAAAAAAATTTTCTAAAAAGAAAATATTTTAGAGCAGTAATCACAATACCACAAAAAACGTGGAACCGTGATGTTTTTGTCCAAGGTTATCATACCGTCAGAATCTTTTACTGGCCCATGCTTATCAATAATAAAGTGTTTTTGTATTTAACATTCAGCTTTCTTACGATATGACAGAATGAAAATATATTAAGTGAAAAAATGTGGTAAAAAGTGAAACTTCTTTTAAAATGTGTTATGAAATATAAATTTCACAAAACATGTTTTACTCTAACACTATAAAAAAAATCAATACTTAAACTTGAGGCTGATACCTCAAAAGAAAAAAACTTTTTGTTTGTGCCAAATATTTTCACAAGATTAACTTAATATTCATATTATTTTTAAATGCAATCATTTCTGACAACAAACAACACAAGTGTGATGATTTTTCAGGTGCATTTAGCCTTTTTTTATTACATGGCAAGTGCCTAAGTCTTTGCTGAATTTGATGCATTTTCATTCATTCATTCATCCATCTTCCTTCAGCTAAGTCGCTTATTAATCAGGGCGGTTCATTCCGCTGTGGCAAGTCAACTATTCCGGCACATGTTTTACGCAGCGGATGCCCTTCCAGCCACAACCCAGTACTGGGAAACATCCATACCCTCTCATATTCAAACATGCACTCATACACTACGGCCAATTTTGTTTACTCAATTCACTTACAGTGCATGTCTTAGGACTGTGAAGGGAAACCAGAGCACCTGGAGGTATCCTATGCAAAGTGGGGGAGAACATGCAAACTTCACACAGAAATGCAACTGGCCCAGCCCGGACTTGAACCAGCGATCTTCTTGCTGTGAGGCGACAGTGACTGAGCCACCATGCTGCCATTTCACTGAATGTAAAAATAAAAAGGTTTACAAAAAATAGCATAACAGTACCAGAGGATTAATATGCCAATTAAGCTAATTGCCATCATCTTGTCCTCAATATCAGATTTTAGCTCAACGAGGGTGAGTAAATGATTTTCTGCTTTAACAGTGTACTGTCCCTTTAACGGTACAGTTCCCTAGCTAGCACATCCCAACACACAGCCGCCACCTTCCATAGGTACAGTCCCAGTTCCTGGCAATCTAAAAAGTGAGCTGGGTCATACCAGGAGACAGAAGAACTCTATGGGGTGCGTGAGACATTAACCATGTTTTCACAGCAGCCTCCAGCTAAGAACAGCCTGTCCTTATGTGCAAAAAACCCTGCCAAATAATAAGGCCCTCGAGAACCATGCTCTATGCAAACATTTTAAATGCTTCAAGGACAAAAGTTTAAAACACAGGCAACGATCAGCACTAAAATGAATGGCATGCAAAATGCCTCCCCTATACGTCCCGAATGTGTGTAGGCCTAGAAATTAAATATAACCCACTGTCAGCTATACAGGACTCTGTTTTTAGTTGTAGCTATACGGTACAGCGCTTTCTATATTAATGTGGAGGTGTGGAACGCTAGCTCCTCCCCCATACGTTGACCTGTCAAGCATGACAAAAATAACCGAGCCCGTTCTGCAATGGGAGTCACAAGTCGGGGTTTCTAAAAAGCTCTTGGCTACTGAGAAGCATTGGCAGGAAGCAGCAGAGTCTGAGGCACGTTTCAAGGCTTGTTGTGTTTGTTTGCATCTGAAATGCACACACAGACATGCAGAGATTGACAAACACATGCACACACTCACAATCACACACACACAGAGAGAGAGAGAGGCAGCTAGTTTAGGTAGTTAGCCTCAGTGCTGTTTTTAAAACACTCGTATATATCTATATTTATGGTAATGCTTGTATTCTTAGCTGACACAGTGTGAAAAATATAACAGGGAACATTTTGGAAGCTCAATATCACCCCCTTGTGGAGTACTGTATGTTTAGAATGCTGGAATTATCTGGAGATGTTGTAATGCCAATTATGTTTTAATTGATTACATCTAAAACCTAAATATGCATAATTTACAATACAAATGCAAGGTTTTATAACCAAAGTTATTTTTCACTTTCTACTAGGCTATTCAGCATCAAAAATAGGAAACCCTATCATGTGCAATCACGATATAAAATGCTGTGTATAAAGATTATTTACAGGTGAGTTTGTTAATTATCCAAAACATGACAGAATTGTTATTCTGTTATCTTTATCCACTACTATATTTTCAAGATTACAACAACAAAAAGTTTATTTTAACTCAATGTCGCCACCTTGTGGTTGAAAAACCACCCTTTTCTTTTGATGTGACTGAAGGTGAATTACAAACCAAAAATCCTCGCAGCTAATGACGACTTATCAAAACCTACGTGTTTATATGCTTTATGTACAGGGAAAGCTGTTACATGAAAGTGTTGTCAGCTTGACAGCTGTTCAATGTGTATTTCTTGTCAAGTACATGTGATGACACTAAAAATGATACTGTTGCTACTTCTGACAATAATAATTAGGGATTTTGACCATTTCTTCAGCAGCGACACACTGTAAACATGCGTTATCTGCAACTGTGCAAGAGTCTCTTCGTGAAAGCAACTCTAGTTACTATATTCATTCCAGAGACATTTCTGAAAAGTATTCAAAACACTGCAAATGAGAAATGGTAATGTATTATGCAATGCCACGTCTTCTTCCGTTCTGGCAATAAAAAATAAACAATCATTTTAAAGTTATTGCCGCCACATTCCTTTGGTTCTGTAAAGGTCTGGAAATATCAGACCCCGGTTGAGAGATTTAAACCACTGTTTATGTGTATCTGACGTAAAGGGGACACACTGGCGTGGAAGAATGTGTCCTTGAAGCAAATTTCGAAGTGAAATTGCTTTGACCACACATGACAAAACCGCTAAATGCAAGGTCAGTTAGTGTCTATGGGCGCGTGAAAGTGACTGAAGGAAAAAATATACTATTAAAGAAGCTTACCAATGAAATTTGTACGACTTCTGGCGGTGAGGAGAGCTTTTGGTCAAACTACGGTCTCCAGAACTCTATACACTCCAACTCAGAAACAATTTACGCAACCGAGGGAGCTTGATAAATCGAGACAAGAAGTTAGAAAACGACAGTCGTCGCGGCTCACAAGTTTTGCTTTGAGCGCGACCGTCAGGCTGAAGGAAATGGAGCACGAGGCAGATGTTTGAATTTTCAAAGGTGCTCGCGCTTTTGCTCCGGCTTGTTTTTAAATATGTGTGATGCACACTGCTGGCTAGCTACCGATGCTGGCTAGGGTGATGTGATGTGATGTCTCCGTGCTGGAATAACGAGTGTGCGAGGATAAACACAGAGGCTTTACAATCCCGAAAGCTCCTCGGATCTCAACTGGCGGCTCTTCCCTGCCTGCCTTCAATTTTTTCCCCTCGCACACTCTTGCCGTACAAGTAAAAAATATCCCCGATGTTTCTGACTTACCTTCCGGCTTGTTTTCGGCAGCCATTTCCCCTCCGCGCGCCACATCCTCCTCCTCCTCTTCACGAGCGTTGGGTACCACGCGCGTTCACGCCGAGGACAGCAGCACGAGAAGGGACTGGCGAGGCAGAGGCAAGTCCAACCAGAGCGCACTCACCATTGGCTGTCGGACTATGACTGACCATGTTGTGCTAAAATGGCTTGCGAGAGCAAAGCAAACATCCTCCCCTTCGAAGTGTCTCGGAGAGCCATTGGGTAAAGCGGGATGTGTAGATACACCTTAAGAAGAATCCAACCAATCTGAAGTGAGGGCTCGTGAGACGTTCTCGTGCAAATGAAAAGACGATGGGAATGTTTAAGGTTGGTAAATTCTGGTCAAGAAAAAGAAACAATTTTGTATCTTTTTTCATAGTGTTTACTCTAGAATATTTTGGAAAGATTTGGAAGTGTTTATTAAACAAAAAATGGATTATAAGACAGAAATTTGTTTGATGTACTGTTTTATTCTGATGAGAACTTAATTGCAAAGCACAACAGATTTTTTTTATTTCTTTATGTTATTAGGACAATACTACATATAAGAAAAAGTGGGCTCAATTTAAAGCTAACTTTTCACATTTTGTAAATGACTTCAAATTATATGTAAATCTTTTAGAACATTCACAAAACAAAAAGCACTAAAAACATGTGAAAACGTTTAATTCAACTATATACGATTTTTATATTTTCTCTTTTAGAAAACTATTTAAATATGTAGCACCTCGTGTTTTTGTGGCATTGAATTAATAAAAAAAAAGTTCAAAATCAAATCAAAGAAACATATTTTCTGAAAGCTTGGTGAGCATGTTGGTGATGACCTTTTATACTCTTCAGATCTCATAATCAGTTATTTTTTCTCTTATTATAGGCTATTTCAATTAAATTTTTAATTCACCTTTATTTGTATAGTGCTTTTACAATGTAGATTGTGACAGTGCAGCTTCAAATAAAAGATTATGGTAAATTGTAAATTGAATGTGTCAGTTCAGTTTTCAGAGTTTAAGTTCAGTTCAGTTTAGCTCAGTTCAGTGAGGTTTATTAATCACTACTGAGAGTCCGAACACTGAAGAGCAAATCCATTGGCGTGTAGCTCTACTGATTCCGAACCATGCTAGCCAGTGGCAACAGCGGCGAGGGAAAAAAACTTCACCAATTGGAGAAAGTGAAGAAAAAAAAAACTCAAGAGAAACCAGACTCAGTTGGACACGACCATTTCAATTTCTACGCTGGCCAAATCTCTTGTGCAGAGCTGCAGTCTATTTGTATAAAAGCATTGCTTTGCCACAAATGCTCTGCATATTTCCACTAAAACTGATGACTTTTTACCAGCAATCTTGCTCTGGAGAAGCTGACATACACTTTAAAGGGAAATTACAAGATTTTTATGAAATAAGGACCCCCTTTCAACACTTTCTAAAACAGGTGGACCATGCAACATTTTTTTAATGTTTGAGCTTTCAAACCCTTGTTGGTGTCTTATTGTATTGTTCAGATCTTACATTTCAGCAACATTTAACATATTTGTTTAACCAGCACAGACTGGCTAAATTTAATTAAGGCTATAATTTAATTATTTTAAATTATGTATTATTTACCTAATTAATTTTAATATTATTAACCATTTGTTTTATTATTATTATTATTATTATTATCTGTATATTTTAATGTATTTTGTTCTTTTGTTTAAAAAAAAAATATATATATATATATATATATATATATATATATATATATATATATATATATATATATATATATATATATATATATATATATATATATATACATTACTGCTTGAAAAAACGAGATGCATCTCTTAAAAACTCATAAAAATTAAGACGGGATGCCCAACAGTCCTCTTCTTGTAGATACCTTAATTCCTTCAAAGTTAAACCTTCATCAAACACAAGCTTAGCTAACTAAATTAGATCTTTAGTACCATTTGCTAATTGCAGATGAGTTAAAGCACTGTTAGATGAACTCTGCATGTAGGTAGATGTCCAGGGACGGGACTATAGCCAACTCTGGGACAAGATGAAGCTGAAGCAACTTTGGGCTTCGTGCGCTGAAGTCCTGCGCCATGGTGCTGAACGGACAGCTCCAGGCGGCAGCAGCGCTCTACACTCACAGTGCGCTTTCACCAAGTGTCAAATCTCCAGACCACTAAAAAGTCTGAATTCTGAAAAGTATTCCGTTCAGATAAGCTTGCCAGAAAAATGGTCTCTCTCCTATTCCAAAAGCATAATGCTGAGGTCTAGGTCCCATTTGAATTCCCTAGAAAACCTCACGGTAAGGAATATGGAAGTCGCGTTATACCCGAGCTGATTAATTATTCGTTAGATTAAGCATTCTGTAATTGCATCGAGCGTATAGATAATGGCTTAAATGTCTCTCTGCCCGCAGCGGATACCCGCCATGAAATGTTATCATTAAAGCGTCATCTTTATTGCTTGCAGTTGTTAGATATGAATGCTTTCCAAATCCTTATCTCATTTTATGAGAGAAAAATCTTGGATTGTTGAATAAAACATTCTAAATGACCCGTGGAGAAAACATTCGAGCCAGTCTATCAGTAGGCCTGCTAATGGAAATAAACATGACATTGGGAAATAGCATAGTTTTTTTTTTAACAACAACACGTTTGTATTGTAGACTGAATCACGATTAATGCATATGCATTGCAAAGGTTTAATTTAGGATTAGAAAGTGCTCGGAAGGCTAATAATAATACTTGAAGCTCTTGAAAAATGTATGTCTACAGCAGTTAAGGCACTTGAATTCTCTAAGGAAATGAAAAGGATACTTCCAGCACAATTTCCAGAGCATCTGCCGTCTATTCCTGCCAGAGATCACATAAAGGATCACACATGACATCACACAGAGGTCTTCAAAGAACTACTTCGCCATCCTTACGTTAACACACTCTTTCATTACAAGTCATTAATTCCATGCTCCATTTTATAAGAGTTACACGTGGATTAGATATATTCTTCTTTGATTAAAAGTATAAAGTATTCAGTGATTCCACATATATGTGATGACACTGATTTGCTTCTCCCTACTAATGGAGCTGAGTTTGAAAGTTGGATCTGAGGTCAGTTACAAACAATTCACTAACTACTTGTTAATTATAGCCAAGAGGGGGCGCAGTTTGACTTTTAAACTAAATAAATGTAATTAAACGTAAATGGAAAGCTCACCCAAAAATGAAAACGTACACACTAAACACTCAGCCTCAAGTAGTTCCATTTGTGAGTAACTTTCTTCTACTGAACACATATGATGATATTCTGAAGACATCTGAAAACCGGTAACCATTGACATCCATTGGAAAAAAACTACTATGTAGGTCAATGGTTACCAGTTTCTAGTTCAGTATCTACAAAAGAAAGAAACTCAAACTGGTTTGAAACGAGCGCAGAGTGGGTAAACGATGAAATATGTTTTCAATGTTGCATCAACTATTAATTTAATGACTTCTTACTCTGCAGTAGGATTTAAATCAACAAGGAGGCGAGGTGAACACAGTAAGGATGCTTGCTGGCCTCTGCTAGACGTCTGTTAGTAACATGTAATGTGTGAAGGAATTTGTTTTAAATGAAATTGGCCTTTTTTTTCTAAATTGTAGGCTACATGCTGTTTTGTTATTCCTTCCAGTTCTGTGTGTGTGGAGGTTGTAATGTAGATAATGGAATGACAAGCTTGGTTTATATTGCAGTTGCATCACATTGTGGTTTGTTACATAGGTTTTATCACTTGCATGCATGTTCAAAACCTAGGACTTTTGGCTTGACTTTTCTGCAGAGGGAAAAGACACAATCTATTATTTATACATATTACATCCCATCAGCTGTCCTTCCAGGATTTTGCAGGGACATTTATATATATATATATATATATATATATATATATATATATATATATATATATATATATATATATCTGTAGCCTAAAATGACTGATTTCTGATGGATTTTCTCAAAACATATGGCATTATTTGCTTCAAGTTTTGTGTTTGCTGTGAAAATACACATGAATCTTGTAAACTAAACAGTGCTTAAATGAGCACACCTTGTTTTGAAGAATATGCTTGTCCATTTCTCAATGAATATGGCCAATCATTTTTGGTGGATTTACACTTTCATTAAACACTCATATTCATAAAAATAAGAGTTTGGTGACCTAAAATCTTTAGGTATAGAAAGATTATACGTTTAAATTCATATTTAAACGTATACGATTCTCATGTACAACGCAGAAAAAAGTAAATAGACTGATAGAAAATGCGGGGTATTTGGAGAGTACAAATCCTTTATTTTTTTAAATTAAAGATACTTAAGTTCAATGATTCGGTTAAATTTAAAACAGCTAGGAATAAATTACTTCCAAAGTGCATACAAAATTTTTTGAAAAAAGACAAGGGGTATAATCTTAGAGTAGAACAACATTTTAAGATGTTGAAAACAAGGACACATTTAAAAAAGTTTGTATAAATCTAAGTGGTGTGAAATAATGGAACAGTCTAGAACAGATTCTCAAACAATGTCGAGATATTAATCAATTGAAAAAGTTGTATAAATATATATTATTAAAGGAACATAATGATTAATAGAGGTGACTGAAAAAGAATGGTATTATGAAATTTCAATTAATGGCTGTTTGCAGTACTATGTATTTTTGGGTCTGTTATAAAATGTAAATGAACAAATGGAATCAAACATGTCAAAGACGCCAAAAGGATCAAATATGTCTCATGCAAAGCTCATATGTTTCATGTAAAAATAATAGATAAGTAAAAAAAAAATAAGTTTAAGTAACAGATGGATGATGTGTGTGGTAATGGGGTGGGAAAATAATAAGCTTGTGCTTATTCCCGCTGCATTTTCCACAATGGGGAAATGTTTTTTTTTTTTTTTTTTTTTTTTTCATGTATGATACATCTATTCAAAAAATAAATAAATAAAATAAAATTTGTTAAACAAAATTTGATATTTATTCTGTTTCTCTTGATTTTTCTTATTTATTAAAATTTTATTTAATATTTTTCTCCAACATATTAATTTGAGTGTACAAAATTTTGGACTGACACCCGATAAGTTAGAGACTAAGTTGAAGGAAATGAATGAATGAATGAATGAATGAATGAATGAATGAATGAATGAATGGTTTT